GATTGATTAGTAGCTGCCTTGAAAAAAATGTTCGTCGCCATGATGTGGCAAGAAATATATAAAAAGATCATTTGACCATCCTCGCTTTATACAGGTAGACGTCGAATCTCTCTTATGAGTACATGCGCCATCTGTTAATAGCTCAAAAGGCTCCCTCGTTCTAAAGTGAAGAATCGTTAATATTTTATTAAATTCCTATTATTTTTAAGTCGTGTTACTTTGGCATTATATTCATATTCCTTTACTATCAATAATGGTTCATTCAACTTTATAAATACGCTTATGATGCCGTCATTGATCCCATCATTGAATTACGTAAATAATTAGTTCAATTTATTTTTCTGTATGATTGATTTGATCTTCATGAAGAGGCAGATTTATTAAAATTACGCGCAGTTAAATTACTTGTGATAGTTGAATGAATTTCTAATATTATTGCCAAGGGCGTCGACTATAGTGTGGTTGATGTGGAATATTCTACATTTAAAATTTTTCCATGTATAGAATTCCATACTTGGAAATCCGAAGAATATAGAAATTATTTTTTGATAAAATAATAAAATATCTGGAAAACGATACTTTGTTACAGAATATGTAGTGTAATTCCCAGGATCTGAACGATGAAAATAATTTAATAAATAATTGAGAAATAATTTTTTATTAAGTATTATAATTGCATATCACATACGCACGCACGTACGCACGCACGCACACAGGACCAGATTCCTACTACATTGATCCCGGATTACGCTAAGAGTAGGAAATTACATTACATATTCTATAACAAAGTATCGTTTTATACATGTGTACATATCTTATTATATATGATAGTAATTATATTTGGGATATAATTATATATGGCACCATATATGTAATATATCATCATCATCAATCATATAAGAAACATAAAATGTGTTATTGAAGCTCCTATGTTATTGAAGGCCCCAGCCCGTTACTCCACACTTGGCAAGATCCTAAGTCGACGCCCCTGATTATTGCATTAATATTATTTCAGATCGGTTAATCATATACTTTAATTAAATTTTTTAGTACAATTTACTACGTGAAATTATTCATCTAACTAGTGTAATTATTTATCTAACTAGGCTTTTATTCTTCTTGACTTAATTATACTTCACTTAACTCAAATCGCGCAATCGTCAGATTTAGTTCTTTCCACTCTGAGTTTTTACAGTATAGAGCAAAGAATTTATTTTAAAGTGAAATGAATTTGTATTTTAGAGCAGAGAATTTGTTTTGAAGTCGTGAATTTTTCACGCAACATATGCTTGTAGTATATTTCGTGGCTGTGACAGATTTTCTAATTTCAATAGTCGTTAACTTTAATGCTTAATATTTCGATTCGCGGGGCAGAATACTTTTTTTCCAGTAGATTTATTTATTTTATGAAAAAATGCATCAAATCTTTGGTGAAAATTTTTCTCATAATTTTTATACGAATTGGAAACATTTTTCAGAAATACTCAGAAATATTCGGAAAGTTTACATCTTCTCTCAAAATATTTCATACAAGTAAATTCTGAAATATTGTGTAATTTCTCATTCCATAATTAGGCTTATTCCTGGTGAAAATTTTCTCAGAATATTTCATATAATTTTTCAGAATTTCTATATAATTTTATAACTTTCTCACATTTTTTTATACGAATTAGAACATTTTTCTAAAAATCTATATTCAGAATTTTTCATATGTATGTTAACCCTAGCAAGTCATTCATGGGTTCAACGTACCTTATGCGATTTTTTATTGCTATAACTTTTTAATAATTTGAAAAACTCGGATTTAGGCTGAAAAAAACTTTAACTGTCTATAGATATAATAAACCTGCAAGGATTTTTTTGTATTATTCTCGATGTGAGAATACACGAAAGTTCAAAGAGGATACTTGAGACCACATATGACCAGCTTGTAAGTTTTCAATGTACTGGATATCCCTTTATTTTTTATTAAATATATGTTTATTGAGTTTCGGATAGTATACAAGTAAATACACGAAAATGTAGAATTAAAAAAAATTATTTCAATATAATAAATAATAGAAATTTTATAATCTCTGTTAGTCTTCGGAAATCGGCCGAGGCGGATATATTGCTTTAGAGTGAGTGTTGTGATCATCCTCTAAATTAAATCCTAATAAATTTAATTGTATATACTATAATAATATTTATACATGTACAATCCTTTATCTATCATTTTATATTGTTTAAATAATAAAATTTTATTTATTAATTGTAAACTCATAATATGTAGATTTTTCAAAAATGTCGATTTTCAATAATAATACTTTTTTGAGCGATTCATATCATACTTTTTTTTTTTGTTAGTCCAAAGGATTAACTAAACTTTACTAAAAAAATCTTATGGGTTTTTGCTTGAACATTAAATTTAAAAATTTGAGAACATTACAGCGACAATCTTGCTAAAAACGGACATTTTTATGATGTCATTGCAACAATATTGCAAATACATTGCAACAATATTGCAAATACATTACTCAATCTATTTACAATATTACAACATTGCAATGATATATCTGTAATCATTTTGCAATCTTTCCGTGCTATATGAGCAAAAAAATGCAGAAAAAAGACTAATCAATATATAATGTATATATATATATATACATTTCATATTGTAATTATTATATTACATACTGCAAATTTTATATGCAGATATGTTTTTTTAAATTTTACATAAGTATGCAGACATATATGTATTTTACACTTTTTCATAAATATACGAGGGCAAGGTGAAAAGTAACCGACCTCAACATGAAAACATGAACTATGTACAAAGTTTTTAGTTAAGTACCAAGTGTTATATATCAAATTACTCGTATTAAAAATATCTATAATTTATATTAGGTGTTGGAATTAATTCGTAGCGTTTTTTAATGAAAGAATGTTATTTATTTCACATGAGCATTAAAAAATACATTAATGAAAGTACTTCCCATCACTTGTAAAACGCTACGAATTAATTCCAACACCTAATACTTTGACCACTTTTCTGAACAATTCATAACTAAAAAGTTAGAGTCAAAAATATGTTAGTGCTTTTTTTCAAATCTGCCGCAGCAATTTATAAGCCTACCGAGCCTATGCTAACCTGTAGAGAAAAATGGTCAAGGCAGAAATTGTAGCCGCCTTTAATGTGAGCAATATGATATATAACACTTGAATATATACCGAAAAGTTTGACTTCGATGGCGGCATCTTCAACAAGTCGTACTTTTTTTCTTAAATTTTCGTTTTTTGCTTTTTTTCTTCTTGGTTTTTTGACTATAACTTTTTAGCTGTGAATTGTTTAGCAAAGTGGTCAAAGGAGAAATTCTAGATATTTTCAATGTGAATAATTTGATATATAACACTTGGTACTTAACTAAAAACTTTGTACATAGTTCATGTTTTCATGAGGTCGGTTACTTTTCACCTTGTCCTCGTATATATTTTACACTTTACGCAGATATGCCTTGTATTCTTAACTAGTGAAATGGAAATAATAAGAAACTACACGCGTTCTATTTAATTTTTTTGCCACATATTTAAAGAATTTTTTAAATCCATATTATATATTCCAAAAAATTATGAGAATTAATTATAAAGTTTGAAAAACCTTGGCGGCGGAAACAAATGTTTCAATGAACATTATGATTCCTAATAGCTCACGCACACTGAACGCGGAAATACTTGCCATGTGGTAAAATATGATGCAATAACCAATAAACTTACAAGTCTTAACGTGTTCATTGGTTACCGCGTCGCATTTTGCTGCGCGGCGTTTCCGCGTCCAGTGTGCAGAAGCCATAAATTAATGGAAATAATTAACAATCATATAATGTGTAATTGACATATTTCCACATGTAACAGCAATTCATTACTCAAAAGCCAAAATGTTTTTTAATATCCTTGTAACAATGTTGCAAGATTTGTAAAATCTTGCGCCGTAATATGTATTATATATTATAATTTTTAATACCTACAATGTAGTCATATTATAGCGCAATATTGCAACATTTCTGTAATGTTAGTCAAGTTTCTGTGCTGTATAGGTGAGGTGCCTCACCGAAAATCACAAATATCTACATAATTTGAATTAAAATATTGAAACTATGTATATATCTCAAAGTAGTATGAAACATACGATAATAAATCAAGAGTTACATCTTCATCAAACAAAAGCAAGGTGAGATAATGTTAACTTTTTGAGGTTAAATTTGTATGCAAGTTTATGTATGTAAATATCTTTCAGAATGGCCATTGACCTATTCCATCACACTTATAGTTTTTTAAACTATTATAATCTTTTTTTAGAGAAGTCTATGATAAAATTTGTGTGTTGTTAGTAAAAAAAGCACCTCCGTTTCTGTCACTATACAATAATTTATACGTTCAAAGTTATATTTTCAATATAACTATTTTTCAATATTTTCCTCTATATTCCTAATTTTCAATATTTTCAATATTTTCCTTTTTCATTTCACCATTAAGATCCTAGAATTTTGTATAACCGTATACGTTTTGTATTATGTCAAATTCGGTACTTCAACCCAGCAAACGAGAATGGATTAAAATAGATTGAAATTTTCAGTATTCACAATTGTGTTTGTGTGCACAGAAAAAACTAATATTAT